ATGCACTTACTTTCATTAACAGTTTTAAAGTCATTAGTCCACTGTTTGATACATTAAATCGTAATCGCCATTAAACGGCGAGGCTATAAACTTAGTCTCATCTTCCTAAACAGACACATGCGCCTGCGAATGCGTTGATAGCGTGTCACATCTATGACTATATACATACAAACATACCCATAAATTCAATTTAAGATTAACTGTAATTCTATAATCATTCAGTAAATGCATGTTTTGATTAGGAAATTTCTCTTGGAATTACTTTACTACTTTTGTATTGCAAAATCTATTAGTTAATCATTTGCCTAATGTACGCCTTCGTTCGGCGTGGTCGTCACCAAATTACTACGTAACTATTTACTCAAGCGGTCATTAGTGCTTCAAGCTAGCCTCGCTGTAGGCGTTTATAACAAATTTGTCTACAAATTTAGTTAATTGCATTGACATCCAAACAATTTGTGTACATTTTTTATTCCGAAAGCCGTAGCCATTTGCAAGGTGTGTCAATTGGCGGTTATTCTGGTGTGGGTGTCCTTATTTTAGCTACATACGTAAAATTGTCGGATTGATTGTTCTAGGTTTAAGGATAGGTGCTTTTGTATATCTATTTTTTTCATTTTATGCTCAAGCGTATTTATTTTTGAGCTGCTAACAATTGGCATTATGAAATGTTGACTTTCTCCCTGAGTTATAGTCTTCACACATAGCTTTTTTTTGGTGAAGGTATTATTTTTTCCCCATACTGCATATTTACCCTATTTTTGATTGGGTTTTCGTGCTGAATAGCAATTTCCCTTTGCACGAAGACAATTCGGAAATAGGAAAAGCAATTGCTCATACCGGCCCATTGTGAATGTTTTGAACAGGAAATGGTACAAGCAAGTAACCTCACACATACATATGCAGCATGCATGTGAATAAAAAAAAAAAATTACAAATCAATTGATGGTGTATTTTATTTTGGGTCCCGATGCTATTCCTCATATACCTACATATATAAGATTTAAGGTCCGTCAGCGAATTTTCTTGTCTCATAACATGTCCTATTCAAAGTCGTAAGGTTTCTTCAAGAAATTCTATAGCCACCTAAAAAAGTAGACTACTTTGCAAAAAATAATATCACGCTGTACTAGTGATGCGATTTACAAAATATCGGATACCATACTTAGAAAATATTCATTGCTTAAAAAAAAAAAAAAAACAAACTGTTTCCATTTAATAACTTCCAATCGTTTCTCAACTCATTCACCTCATATGAACATACAGGTTAAGTTGTGCTCACCATCTCACATACATATGTACACATAGGCTTCCGCACAGCCACAAGACTACGGCTGACTCGATATGTGCTGTGGAAAGTCAAGGCTTTTCAATGGTGTTCACTGTACACGGTGCCTGTGCATGCACGCAAGCGTCCTGTCATAACTGGGTCAATTGGCTTTTTCGGTTATTAGTCCGTATCGCTTCGTTACGTTACTCTGTGAAATGCCTTCACCTAATACTAAGTACTACCATAAGTACGAGTAAGAATCGTATTTAGGTGCAGCTGCACTCAACACACTTGCATTTTGAAAGCAAACATAAATGAACTGCAGGCACACACATGCCATATTTTAGACTGTACAGTTAGTATAAAAGATTGTAAAGGGGTCACGCAGGCCCCAAAAGGGCTTGGAGCTCATGGAAGTTAATATTTTTGTTGGTAAAGGAAATTGATTAGAATTATGAACTATGTATGTATGTGCATAGATATGTGCGTATTACAAGAAATTCTGTGCAATAAAAAGTTTGCTTGTTCAATTCTTTGTTATACCGAATTTCTACTACGCTTTAAAATGCCCAAAACTTGGGCACTTCAAAAAATGTATTTAAAAAAAAAAAAAAACCTTAAAAAAAGTTAAAATATATTTTTACTAATTTTTTACCATTTATTTTTTAGTTAATGCCCACTCATATGATGTGTATATATTTTGAATGCTTTCTTGTGGTTTACTAACAATTTATTATGAAGCAAATGGATTGATTGTATTTCAAAACACTTCCTCTTTCTACCTCAACTGTTTTCATTTATTCTTAATCCTGCTGTAATTTTCAATGTGCTCTTCTTCTTCGCCGCTTAACTAAAGGTATTGCGTTTACCATTTATACATACAAATGTATGTATGTGCATACATATGTCTGACGCCGCCTAAACTTAAATAAAATGTTTGCATTTACCTTTGGCTGTGTAATTAATTACATTCGTAAATTCGCAGTACTCAAAATGCTTAATCAACTCTCAACGCCAGCCCCATGACTCTAGCCATTCACTCCGTGTTGCTCCATTAAGTTTTGACGCGCCAGCGTAAGCGTTATAAACCCCCATTCGCCAGATTAGTGCAATTTGAATGCCCAAATGTGCTGATTTAGTCTTAAGTATGTATGTATGAAAATTTTTACGTGTTGCACGCAAATGAACGCCCACCCATTTTAATGATTTAATGATTTTTTCACTTCTATTTCGGTGCCAATGAGTCAGTCAGTCGGTTGTTGGTGCAAGTATTTTCATGTTGCTGCTGTGCACGAAATTTGCATGTCTCTCGCTATCGTAGAGGGTTGTTTTATTTTTCGAAAGAGCTTCTTAGTGCGCCCTAAATTCGCACATATGTATGCATGTAGTTTGTGCCCCCGATGTCTGTGAGAAAATTGTTGGGGTTAGTTTTAGAATTCTATGTAGAAGAGCAAATCTCACGAGTTGCTACTTTTTTCGACATACATATACGTCTTTTTGGTCGCAAATGGTGGCACACTTATCTTAGTCATGCATTATCTTCAGTTTCGCTTAAAGAACAAGATTCCATCGCGAAATTCTATTTAAATGAAATCTTAAAAAAGATATACTCAANTTAATTTTTAATTTGTATCTAAATAATCTGCAAATAACAGTTATATTTGATTTTTATATTGTATGTCTTATTTATAAAAGTCATCAATAAAAATCAGTCAGTGAATTCAATTTTTTAAATCATACTTATAAAAGTCATTTATATAAATAAAAGTCTTCAATAACTGTTATCTAAGACATATAATATAAAAATCAAAAATAATTGTTATTTTGTATTTATAATATAAATTTCAAAAATAATTGTTATTTTTTAATTTTGCATTAAAATCGCAAATAAAAATGTATTTCCAAATTTGAGTCTTGGTGAAAAAAGAAATCGATTGGTATGTATCACTTAGTTGTAGAACATTTTCTTCATAGTGAATTTTCCATGACAGTTTTCATCAATAACTGTTATGTTCGGTCCAAGTATATACCAAATATTATAATGAATTTCGAGTGTGCCAATAAAAATTGTAAATATGGAATTTCGAAGTATCTTAATAAAAATTTCAAGAATTTGTTTACTTTTTTCTTATTCACATTTAGCCGGTTTCCGTTTCGCCATCAAGAAATAATAAATGTAGGTAAATATAATTTTTCATGCTGATTTCAACCATACCAAGATTGTTTGGCGCAAATAAAAACTAAAGCCAATAAAGGAGGTTAAAGCTTAACTTTTATATTTTCTATAATTATAATATCTCGGAAACTATTTGACCGATCACAAACGTATTGATGCTAGTTTAAAGATAATTTAAATACCTTTTACGCTACGTATACATTATAATCTTGTTGAAAAGAAACGCCATTAAAAAAAAAAATATATTTAAAAAATATATTTAAAAAGTTATGTACACCAAGTGAAGGACCCCCTAATTACCTTTATTTTGGCGTCATTAGTTTTTTAATTGGTTATGTTGTTCAGAAGATATTAATAGATATTTAAAAAAATTAAAAAAATTTACTTTAACCATTGATATTTTCTTTTTATTTTTACTTCCGCCAGATAATTTTAGTAGGGTTGACATCAGAACATTTTTGGTTTTTACATAGCTAGATTTGTTGATATTCTACACTTATGTACACGGAACGACGTCGGACTATTTCTGATTAAATCCTGCAGTACGGGAACAGACTAACTGTCGGCAAGTTGGTTGCAGGTTTGGCTTATCAAAGACACAAACAAAATGCGGTAAAAAAAAGGATTGCATTCGCTTTAACTCCAAATAAAAGTGGTGTTTAAGGCGAGTTAAGCGAAAATTATTTGTATCGCAAACTCCGAGTTTATGAGTAGTGTTTAACGTTTAACTTCAAAATGGCCCATAAACTCAAGTTAAAGGCTCAACGTGAACATAGTATAAAAGTGTTATGAGTCGTTGAAAACATATATTGACCTTAATTACCTTCTTACGGCTTTGTTTAAAACCCAAAGCCATGTATAATAAGCAAGAGCAAATTTTATGCATTTCGCATTAGGAACGATCCGCTCCAATGTGAATGAATTTTTTTATTTTTATTTTTTTTTTTTTTATGAAACGAATAGTGGATTTAGCTAATTTTTTAATCAGTGTTTAGTGATTTATGGCCTTATTCATAAAAAAAAATAAAATAGATTTAAAGTGTCATTTTCATAAAAATTTCCGATTTACAAAGCAGTTAAAATCTTCTTTATTTTTTTATAAAATTTCGGCGTAAGTGTATATTTTTATTTAATTCAAATCATCAGATGGCTTTATTGTTTCCGGTTCCCGCCTAAATAAAGCAAAATAATACAATTTGAAACTCCCCTCGCATAATACTCTGTTTCGATCTATGTACACCTCAGCTCAACATAGCAACCACACAGCTCCCTCCCTATTCAAGTAGCGTCATGTCGCACAACTCAGATTGCCAGAGGCGGCTGTGAGTGAGCGGCCGCACTTCGCTGTACATTTTAATTGAAAATAGGATCGCTTAAGCGGAGGGTTTAATAACGAATTCGTTGCCCAGTCAATGGCCATTAACTCACCTCAGTTATGTCTCTATTTTTAATTGGTTTATACTATGTATACGTATGCACATATATTTTCTATGACTTAACTAATTAAATTTCTTTATTTGCTCAAACCTGCTTTTTCTATCTTTTTACTTGCAGTTGTGGAACTTTGATGGTCGTCCCCTACAACGACAACTCATGAAAAACTCCAAATAACAACAACAACACGATTGCTTTGAATTGTCGCGGCGCAAAAAAATAAAGAAAAAAAAAACAGTTTAAAATAACAATTCCAACAGTAGCAGCCAACTAAAGATAAAAAAGTATTAGAAAACTTAAAAAAAAAACTCGCTAGTTAAACAAACAAAGCAAAAAACCACAACAAATCCCAAAACAGTGCAGCAAACTAGCTGTGTTCAATGTTTCCAAGCTCTTAGTGTTTGAAAAAAAGAAACAAAGAGACGTTTTTCCTATTTTAATTTAACTTTTACACAGAATACGCAAATCCTTACAAACCAAAAAAAAAAAAAAAACAGAAAACAAAGCATTTTCCAGTGTGTATTAAGTTTGTGTTTTATGTATTTTAATCGCCGCATTTGGTGGATGTCTTTGCTGCCGATGTAATTTCCCAAAGCAGTGCGAGTAGCGGCACTCCTCTACGTAGTTTGGTATTTTTCTCGTCCAATACGAGGTACATTTTTCGAGCGTACATTGGTTAAAACTGTATGACATTACTTGGGCCTAGCGCCCCTGGTATGGCCTTTATGATGAAAAAGAAAAAGTATAAGTTCAATGTTGAGGTACAATTACAAGAGCTTTCCGAGGTGGCGCTGGTGAATGAGGTGCTGTTCGCGAAAATACGTCTGCTGGATGGTGGTTCGTTTCAGGAGTACAGCAGTAGGTGAGTAACCATAGTTTTAAGGTACCGAAGGGCTTAAGAATTTGAAATATTTTCATGAAATTTTCAATGATTCATTAAAAAATGTTTTTTTTTTATTTTTTTTTGGTGGTCATAAAAATACGGAATTAGTATTTAAAGGGATCTTAGCAAATTTTCATCCAAATATTGCACTTTTTATTTACACTCTTTAGAAAAAATTTTAGTGCGCAGTTTTTTAGCCCATTCAATTTTAGTCTAACAAAGTGTAAGTTTGAAGTAGCTAGGACTTACTGTTGATTTGTAGCAATTTTTTTTGTTGAAGGTGTCGCTCATTTCCTCCATATAAAATAATGGTCAATGATGGGCATTACTCGATCTTATTTACGTGAAAAACTTTTGGCCGGGCTGTAATTTTCATAACTCACTCTGAGAGCAGTGTCATCTTCGCAGTTTCATGTGTAAAATGATCCGCTGAATCCAAATATGATCTACGACGATCCCTCTTTCAACACTTTATTTGTCACTGCCCCATAACTAATTCTAAGCCTTAATCACCTCGCGAACTCGTTCAGCCGGTTTTTTTTTTCCTATGCCACTACTTTTTAAAAATTTCTTTATTTTCCACAGAGAGGAGGTACGCGATCATCGTGTAGCATGGANTCTTTCAACACTTTATTTGTCACTGCCCCTTAACTAATTCTAAGTCTTAATCACCTCGCGAACTCGTTCAGCCGGTTTTTTTTTCCTATGCCACTACTTTTTAAAATTTTCTTTATTTTCCACAGAGAGGAGGTACGCGATCATCGTGTAGCATGGAATCGCAGCTTCGAATTTCCCTGCAAAATGTCCGCCAATGCGTCCACGGGCGTACTGGATCCCTGCTACTTGCGTATCTCCATACGCAAGGAGATGAAGGGTGGACGTAGTTATTTTAAGTTAGGTTTTATCGATATAAATCTTGCCGAATTCGCCGGTGCTGGACTAACGTCGCGACGCTTTCTGCTCGAAGGTTACGATTCGCGCCATCGTCTAGACAATTCCATGCTGCTGGTGTCCATCAAAATGCACATGCTCAGCGGTGATATACTCTTCAAGGCGTAAGTATACACTGTGACTCTTATCAAAATTTAAATTTAATTATCTTTCCTAAACTCTACTTTCAGCCCCACGCCAAATTTGAAGAGTAAACAAAAACCTTCTACTGACGATTTGTCTACAGCATCTACAGGCGTCGGACTGCAAACGCCNATCAAAATTTAAATTTAATTATCTTTCCTAAACTCTACTTTCAGCCCCACGCCAAATTTGAAGAGTAAACAAAAACCCTCTACTGACGATTTGTCTACAGCATCTACAGGCGTCGGACTGCAAACGCCCACTGCAACAGCTTTGTCCAGCATTGGCAGCGGTGTGGGTAGTGGCGCGTCCAGCGTCAGTGGCGGCAGTCAGGGCATACCTGTTGGTGGCGGTAGTGGCGCTACGCTAGGCAGCGGACTCAATAGCGCGACCAGCACGCGACCTGTATCCACTGTGCGGGATGATGGTAAACAAGCGCATCAAATATCTTTTTATTCAAAAGCATTTCCTTTTTAAATGCAATATTCTCTTTGCCACAGATTTGGATCCCCAAGTAGTCATCGCATCAATTGTGACGGACTCTGGCTTGTCGGAATCCTCTGAATCGGCCACCACACTCACCACAGAAGCGTTACTGCTGCAGCAGCAACAACAGCAGCAGCAACAACAATTTATCACCTATCCACCGCAAAATTCGTTGGGCTCAACGACAACAACCACCGTCGTAACGCTAACGAATGCACAACAAATGCCGCCGTACGTGGGTATTGGCGGCAATGGTGGCAGTGGCGGCGGCGGTGGCGGCGGTGGTGGTGGTAGTGGTGCCGGTGGCGGTGGCGGTGGCGGTGCAGCAGGTAGCAGCGCAGGGGGTGTACTGGGTATTGTGGGTAGCAGTAATTGTGGTACGACCAGCGCTAATGTGATGGGAAGCGTTGGTGGTGGGGGCCTGGGAGGCACTACTACTGGAACATCAGCGATTATGGAAATGGGCCACTCGCGTAATTCCAGCAACACTAGTCAAGTGAGTGCGGGTATTTCAATGCACAACAACAATTTATTAATATTCTACACTTTCTGCTTGCCGAGCGCAGATGTCGAAGGGTTCGGGCTACAGCAGTTTTTCGCACAGTCAACATTCGAGGCAAAGCTCTGAGGGCGATTCAGGGCATGCAAGGTAAGCGTTTTTGTTGCATTGTTGCACCGATGTTATGTATTCAATATTTATTACTTATCTTTTACGTATTGTATTTTTGTAATGACCAGATTTTTTAAGATTATTTTTATGTACTAATTTGCCATCAAACTAATTCGAGTACCAAAGTGAAAACTAAAAAACAAAAACTTTTAGTTTATGTATTGTAAATTTTTTGTATTTTATACATACCTACATAGAAACACTCTTTTGTTCAACATTTTTTTTTTTTTTTTTTTTTACACAACGCCTACTTTAACAAACCAACAATAAGCAACACTAACCAAAACAAATTAACAACAGTAACAAGTGGCGCCAGAAAGCTACAACTTTAACCCCGCTAATCCACTTAATAAAACACTTAGTCACTAAAAAAAATAACAGCAAAAAATCGCAACAGCAATAACAACAGATTAACACCAAACTCTGAATTAGTATTTCAAATCCTCTAAATAACTATTTTACAATAGCTTTTTACATATTTTTATAAATTTTTTCGTAAGCCTTTTGGGTGAGATCGGCGCATCCTTTGGGATAAGGTCGCTTGAAACTGCGACTTATACACTTAACTTTTATCATTTTCAAATTGTTTTGTTTTTATTTACTCATTAAAATGCTGATTAGTCTGCATACTATATTTTTTTTCTATTAAAATTCATACACATTCTAATAAAAATGCTAGTTCTAACTTTCCCCTTTTTTTCATTTTTTTTTTCGTTCACTATTAGCTAATTAGATTACTTGTTATGACTTCTGAAGGAGGTAGCATTTAATGCTATTAGATTGTAGTAGGTCTTTTACAATTTTCATTACGGTATTTTCGCACGTTCCATACACTCTACAAGTAACTTAACATTGAGAGAATGACAATGAGAAATACAAATATACCATTACATTTAGTTATGCCGTCATCTTTGAGAGGACGTCAAACTGTCGCATACTGGCCTTCAACTTAACATTGAATAATGATTTGTGCGGTTGCCATTTCTTTGTGAGACAAATTGCGTGTTTACATTAATTTTGCCTGCCTATTTGACGAGCTAAATTTTTCAGTGAGAATAGGGTGAACTTTAAATTTTAAATTTATTTATTAAATTCTAGAAAAAAAGCCTAACAATTATTAAAAGGATTTCAGTATGTGAGCCAACGATTTTTAAGACCGCTATTTCACACAACAAATGTATACAGTATCTTCCGTTCAACTGGGGATTTCTCAATAGAAAATTGTCTTTCTTGACTGACTGGTATAGGTCAATTAACTAGGGGATATTGTATAATAATTCAATA